AAATTCACTTGTGTTCCAATTAGAAAGTTTTTTAGTTATTTAACCTTTGTCTTTGTTCAAGGTTTGTGGATATAGTCCTTCAGGGGTATGCTTCATTGAGTTTAGTGCATGTACTTACAGATATCTGCTCATGTCTCCTATCAACCTCTTTTTGTTTGATTTTACTTTTTCATACAATATGAAAGTGATATGATTTTAATTTTTTCTTCAACTTTCAGGATGTCCATGAAACGGCTGCAGGTGCTCTTTGGAATCTTGCTTTTAACCCTGGTAATGCTCTCCGTATTGCTTGGTTGTGTTACTTGATCATGCTTCATTTGGGTAATGGGGTAATTTTTCATTCTGGAATGATTCCTTTCAAAATTACTCAATTCTTATGCTCTTAAAGAATATCACTCACTTATGCCTTTTATGAATGGATCAAATAACTAGTGATCTGCTAAATATCCTTGTTCTCCAGTCACATATTGTTGTTTTTTGAATTCCATCGTAGTCTTAAGACTCCCATGTTCTTTCAATGATATGGATATTTACTATGCATTCAATGCTGGAATTATTGATATTCACTTTTTGTTCGTTGTTAGCATTGCCATTGGACGGGAAGGAGGTGTTGTGCCTTTGATTGCATTGGCACGTTCTGAAGCTGCAGTAAGTATTTATTTTATTTTTTCAATTATCATTCGAAATCTTTAAGGTCCATTTTTAAACTATTGTCTTAACTTTGTTGGCAAATGCAGCAGTAGTTATTTTCAAGATTAGTAAATATCGTCAAATGGAACAAATCATGTAGTGTTAGACGTTTTAGATGTTTGTTGTTTTTGGTTGTGGCCTGCTTGGCCACTTCTGCTGTATCTTTCTTGCGTCATTTAATAAAAGTTGGTTTCTTTGAAAAAAAATGACGAAATTTCTATTCTGCCACTAAAACTTGATCCGGAAATTCTTATAATGGCATTACATTTCTTAAACAAGCCAAGTATGTTTGAAATTTCCAAATTTAGGGTGAATTGGTAAAACAAACATTTATAAGGGAAAAATTATCTTATGTAAACAGAATATTCTTGGTCAATAAGAGGAAATGAAGCACTGTTAAGCAAATTTTAATATTATCTTTTTATTTTTATTTTATCAAAATTGCAGATGGTTTTTATAGTTAAAGAATGATAGTTGCGTTGATTACTAAGATTGTTTCAGAAATAAGTTTAATAGTACTCCGTCATTGTGGATTGCACTCATCTAGGCTCTGGAATTGATTACTCAATTTATGGGAACATATGTTTTTCCAAAATGAAATATAGAAGCCGAATTTAGTGACAGTGCGTGCTTCAGTTTGAAATTAAGTATGAAACAGTATAGTATTCGATCGATTATTTATTTATCTTCTAGTGATTGATGTTTGTGCAAAGATTGTTTTACTGTTCTGGTTTATGCACATCTAGCCAGGAAGTTCATTTATATTGTCAATTGAGAGGTCTACTTTTATTTTTCCCCGTAGTATTTGCTTTTTTTCTGTAGTAGTTTTGCGTGTCTTTTTTTTTAGTAGATAATAGCCGACAATCTGTAAAATAATGAGATACGAGAAATTTTGGAAACCGAAGCTAAGATCTCTACATCCAGTATTTGTTGTGAGTCAAATTAGGAAAGTTCTTATATTCATTTACTCTTTATTTGGTTTCCATTTAGTGTTGAATAACAGCATGATGCTAGAAGGCTTTTATATTGCTTCAAAGTTCCAAAATAATGAATCTGTCGTTGAATATTGGGTCTTGTTTGGAAACACCTGTAACATATTTTCAAGCGTATAGTTGCTCAGGGCCTTGCATATAAATTCACTTGTGTTCCAATTAGAAAGTTTTTTAGTTATTTAACCTTTGTCTTTGTTCAAGGTTTGTGGATATAGTCCTTCAAGGGTATGCTTCATTGAGTTTAGTGCATGTACTTACAGATATCTGCTCATGTCTCCTATCAACCTCTCTTTGTTTGATTTTACTTTTTCATACAATATGAAAGTGATATGATTTTAATTTTTTTTTCAACTTTCAGGATGTCCATGAAACGGCTGCAGGTGCTCTTTGGAATCTTGCTTTTAACCCTGGTAATGCTCTCCGTATTGTGGAAGAAGGAGGTGTTCCTGCACTTGTTAATCTTTGTTCTTCATCGGTGTCAAAAATGGCTCGCTTCATGGCTGCATTGGCATTGGCGTACATGTTTGATGGCAGGTACTTGTTGTAGTGTGACTGTAGCCTAGTTGTTTTCTGTTTGGATAATACTCTTTATTTTGTTTCAAGATTCTTTTGAATGCCTGGATTTTTGTCCTATATGTAATGGGGTTTAAATATCCTTTTGAGTCTTATGGTTTATTCTTTTTAAGGAAACCTGGTTTTGCTGGTAGCTCTGACAAGATGATTTCGGTGTAGAAGCCTTTGATTCAAATATCATGCCTCAGATTTTTTCCATGGGTGGAATTTATCCTTTGAAGTGTTTTCCTTTTATTTTTTTGGGAATTTTGACTTTCTTGTGTGTTATATAGGAATATCTTGTAGTAAAGAGAGATAGAAAACTTGCATTGGTTGAAAGCCTTGATTTAAAAAATACCTACAGCTTATAAGTCACACTATATTATTAGAGAGTGCGCATCTCGACCTGTCAGAGTATGTGAAGTTGGTGGCCATGCTTATTTTTTTGTGACATTTTTTAAATTTTGCTGTCTCCTACGGCATAGGTATATGATAATGATTATTTACATGGGAAGTAAATTTTTTCTCACTATGGAACTGGGATGAAAATTGTTTCTGGGAGTAACATGCATCTTTAATTTTTTTTTTCTTCTTATGTTAAAGTTAGTTAATTCTCTGTGCAGAATGGATGAATTTGCCTTGATAGGGACTTCATCAGAAAGCATCTCAAAGAGTGTGAGCTTAGATGGCTCTAGAAGGATGGCTCTTAAGCACATTGAGGCCTTTGTCCTCACATTTTCTGATCAGCAAACGTTTTCTGCTGCTGCAGCATCATCAGCCCCTGCAGCATTGGCACAAGTGACTGAAGGTGCTCGTATTCAAGAAGCAGGACATCTGAGATGCAGGTTCTCTCTCTCTCTGGCCATGTTGATCCTTTTCCATAATCACTCAACTCATTGTTCCTTTGGCCTTCCTCTCATCTTCTTTCATTTGGTTATACAGGCATATAATCATCCAACTTCTAAGCCACTCATTTGGTTCCCTTGAATGCCTGTTAGCCGTCCGTAGTTTATTAATATTGTTACTCCTGCATACCATGCATTTTGTGGAAATCATGTGTCATCTATAACATATTCAACAGTCGTAGTTCCAATGTTTTCCAGGACCTTTGAACCTTTTTGCTATGGTTGAAATTTATCAAATAACATTAAAATATAATCCAAATTACTTGATACTTTATTTTTGATAGTATTACTTTTATCTCCTTGGTTTATGGGTGTCGATCGATTATTTATTTATCTTCTAGTGATTGATGTTTGTGCAAAGATTGTTTTACTGTTCTGTTTTATGTACATCTAGCCAGGAAGTTCATTTATATTGTCAATTGAGAGGTCTACTTTTATTTTTCCCCGTAGTATTTGCTTTTTTTCTGTCAGAATTTTGACTTTTCCTTGTACTGTCAGCGGGGCTGAAATTGGAAGATTTGTTACCATGCTACGGAATCCATCATCTGTTCTCAAGGCATGTGCTGCATTTGCTCTTCTTCAGGTAATTGTGCATATTTAGACTCTCCCTCTTTGAGAAGGGTATATTTCCAGGTGGTGTTCGCCGAATCGCCGCCAATGCAGATATCCTATATTTATTTAAGGAGAACAATCTTTTATGTATGCACTCTTTCAACTGCAGTTTACCATTCCTGGTGGCCGGCATGCCATGCACCATGCCAGCCTTATGCAGAATGCAGGAGCAGCACGCGTTCTGCGGGCTGCAGCTGCTGCAGCAACTGCTCCGCTTGAAGCCAAAATCTTTGCTAGAATTGTGCTTCGCAATCTTGAGCATCACCATATAGAACCATCACTCTAATTCATCTGTCAGCAAAACATCTCCGTTTAGGGTTGTTGATGGAGGCTGATTTAATGCTTTGTTATGAGCTTCCGTGGACAGCAGGATGTCGCACCACAAGGATGCATGCTGTTCTCTGTAATCTTTCATGTAAAAGAACTAAACCTTCCCCCGACAACAAATCAGCTTGATCTTCATTTTTTCTTCTGTCCCCCATTTCTGAGGCATAAAGATGGTTAATTTAGGTTCAAGTAACCCACCCCCTTTGTACCAAATCATATAAAGAAAAAAAAAGGTTTGTTTAGATGGGGGATTAGTTTAAGCACTTGTATCCTTAACCATTTTCAATTTTTGTTCGTATTCTTTGTGATGATGTCTCCTATATAATGATATATATTAAAGCTGTTTGAGACTCGTCCTGGCAACAATCTGATGAAAAATTGCATTAGTTGATTCTCTGTCCATTTCTTTTTAGTTGCAGCTTTGAAGAAATGGACTAATAATCTAAGAATGTTTTTTTAGTACTGGCAGTATTCCGAGGTGATGCCTCTGAGGATGTATTTTGTGAATAAATTACATGTTTATCTCTTTGTTTCAACTAATATCAACTAAACCCTTTATTAGGGAAATAGGCATAGATAGATAACACCGGTTCCATGGTTTATGCAGGAATAACATAATTGTGAAAACCATGCAAATTTGAGAAACAATGGGGTCTGAAATAGAGAACTAGGGTTTGAAATAGAATTGTATTTATACGTTCTAGTTATGCAATGTTTTCACATTGTACTATTCTTGCATGGACTATTGAAACTGGTGCTATCTGTGCCTATTTCCCCTTTCAGCTTTAAGTAGTCCCAAAATTTTGGTGAAATGGCAAGAGTTGATCTCTTCGGTCGTTTATATAACCTCAAATTTAGAAATTCTAATTGCCTTGGTATTGGAACAAAAACTCAATTCTAAAACAAGGTAATAAAGTTTAACTTTCGTTCCTCAAATATGATTTTATTATCACTCCAAAAAGAAAACGATTCGGTTTATGCTATTTGGATACACTAAGTTAGCAATCTCGTAAGAAAAAAAAATTATGAAGTAACATTTGGAAGAACCTCGTCAAATGCAATTGCCACTCTCTCTCTGCAGTGCATAACCCACTTCTCCGTTCTCCAATGACGCATAATAAACAGACACAAGAAGTCCCATTCTAGTATAGCACATACCGTTTAAAAATGAAAACAACATATGCAGTAACAATCACTTCACAGCCGCCTTCTGTATATCCTGTGTTCTTACTCAGATTAAACCACAGTCAGCACCAATTGCCGATGCTCTGTGAGCCCGAAAAGATCCAGGAAGTTGTTCCAGATGGATGAAAATGATTTATGTGATGAAGGCTCTGCTATCTTGGGCTGCATTGAGGCTTCGTCTTCCAAGTATGGCACAACATACTTTTTCATGTCGCTTCGAGAGATGTGCAGATGGCCCCCTGACACATTAATGAACTTAACTTTTCCAGCTTCATCCAAGGTTTTCAAGCCAATCCAGTCTTCAGTGTACAGCTTGGTCTGCAGGATAATACAATGTTCAGAAATCCTAAAGCTTTAAAGTATAGTATATTGACAGCCAAAAAGCACTAGGCAACAAGAATATGGACTTCTCTCCATGGTCTCAGATTATAAAGCACAAACTTTTATTATTCAGTACTAGAGCAAGAACTATGGAGTAGATAGGTTACCTCTTGCGCGGGCAAAATAGGATCAAAGGCCCCATCTGGGAAATATCCGAACCAGGAGGTCTCCTTGGGTATCAATATAGTGTCCTGCTCAAACTAACCATGGACGCCAGGAGAAATAAAATTTAGAACTACAAACTGAATCGTTTCAAATGGGCCAGAGAAAATATAACTCTAAACCTCACCATAATTAGTACCAACTTCTCTAAGCTCGAAAACCGTTCCTTATAAGTGGAATTTCTCATATTATTTATTTCATTGTTCAACCTTGGAAGGAACCTACACCCTTTTAAATAGGCAGCAATGTCCTGGAGAAAAGAAAAGTTGATGAAGTTTAACTCTTAGTGCATGGAACCTACAGAGTACAAAAAATCTTTTAAGCTAACTCATGGATTATACTCACAGTAGGGATTTTAAGATAACCACTTGGAGACAAATGTTCCTGCAAACCCATCAAAAGTAGGTAATTCAATTGGCGAGTTTCCAACAGAGATAAATAACAAGAGAGAAACAGGACAACTTGGTCGCAAGAATCTCAACAGAGATACCATTTTACTGAGGCAAATGTTACTGTCTCCTGTTTCGGAAACTTAAATACAAAAGAAAAAAAGGAAAAAATTAAGAACTTGAGAGTCAATAAGTTTAAACCTGGATATAGCTGCTGTAGATCTCTGACTTGATTAAGTTGTCCAGAAGCACACAAATCCATTCGGACTGCAAAACATAAAATATATAACTAATATCTTGGTAAGTGAGGTAATAGAACATATATTCGATATTACTTATTCCACTGATATTACTTATTTTCCCATCATATTCTAAGTCTATCAATATTGAATTCTGTTGCCAAGGGTTCCGAAGACAAAAATGCATTTCAGTGTCTTTCTGATCAGCATGGGATGGAAATAGAGTATTGATTCTGTCACTTCATGTTTTACAAAGTCGAAAGGGAAGGTGAAAACAACAGAATATCTGGTCTGTTCTCATGACACAAATTCTGGTTGTTTTAAATTCACGCAAGATAATAATTTTGCCATGGAAATAAGTTTGAAGTAACATGAATGGTGAAGCACCAATGTCATACAAAAAATACCACACATGTAACTTAGTTTTAACTGGATTCAATGTAGACAAATACTTGAATGAAGTTATATTGCACAGAATAGCTCAAGTCCTAATAACTCCAAAAGGAAACATCATTATCTTTCTGAACAGCGCTCCACAACTGTGAATATTCTAAATTCAGGATGCTTTCAGTTTACATATGGGACATCATATTGAAATATTTTACTGGGGTTGATTCACAATATGTTTATCTCATATATGAGGGAAATAACCAGGTCTTTATTTCATCCTAACAGATTTTGTCCTGTTTATCAGGATTTTGTGTTTAAACTAATTACTTAAGCAAGTGTGCATTCCAAATATAATAAAAACCTAGAAAATGACTTTATTATACATTGTAAGTAAAATTATTCAAAATGATAATTTTTTTGTTAAAACCAGAGAGAAGAGGAAGAAGCACATACTCCACAAAATGGAATAGAAGCAGTACCAGCATGGGGACCTGCTAGTGATATAAAATTCTTAACCTGTTTCACATATATAAATATAGACTGGAACATTAGCGATTTAGAAAATTGATACAGAAAAAATAAGTCAGCACATGTAATAACAAAAGGTGCTACAAGGTAGAGAAAGAAATACAAAGGACAACACTGATGAAGATGGCAAAAACCGATCAGGAAATGTTAGGTTCACACAATCTTCTCCCTACAATCAACACAATACCCTTTTGGTCTTATCATTTCTAGTAGGGTAAAGAGGCTGAGATGATTAGTATGGTTGGCGTCTAATCCATCTGTTAAAGTTTAAGCATCCAACCCAAAACCATTTGAAATGAATGAAGAGGCCTAGGATTTTATGTATTCTTATGCAAGGCTTAGACTACCCGATGTGAGATTTTTATATGTGGTTGGAATGAGCGAAATATGTGGATCAATATACTTAGGTAACGTGGAGCACATGCGGCCAATTGGGCCTGGCATGTGGATGAACGCTCACTCTGATATTGTGTTAAATTCAAAGCGTCGAACCTAAAACCAATTGGCAATGGCCCATAATTTTATATATTATAATGCAAGACTTACAAAGTTACAATAACTGATGTGGGATTTTAGCAGAAGACTACAAGAGTTTAGATGTATGGAACTAAAGGAAGGTTTCGGAAGGACTTGGAAAGACACAAAATCCATAGGGATTAGACAAGCGCTTTTTGAAATGGATAGGTTGAGAGTAACAGGATGAGGTGCTTTCATCATACATGAGTACGAACAGTAACAGAAGCCCACCACATTTTTGAACACACTTTTGAAGAGAAAATGTGAATCAGTCCTATAGAATTGTGAACCACTTTACATTTAGTGCAGTGACGCACTATATTTGTAATAACAAAAACTAGGAATGCTGAAAATAGCAATAAACAGGTTTAAGTAACAACACTTTTGTGGAGCTTAATAAAGGAAAAATATGCCTTCACACTTTCCTATTATATCGAGTTACCAGATCAAGATGAATTTCTTTTACCAGGAAACCATTCCATGCTTTACAATCATGTACAAAACAATATATGTTTAAGGATTATGATTATGCATGAATATTGATAAAAAATAATGTTTAAGAAAAATAATAGAAAAGGCAATGTGTTCTTACAGGAGGTCCCCCATCACAAAATTCAACTACTCCTCGACCAACCATGTTACCCTGTGAAACATAACGAATGCGGAATATGTTATCAACAACTAAACCATTAGAATCAATACAAAGTTGAATAGTCGAAAACTAAATGGAAAAACTACAATGGATGAATGCAATCTAATCACCAAAAATTATATAAGGCAACTAAAAGTCCTAAATTTACATGGAAATTTCTCCACTTTTCATGAAGGCACTTATACAATCATTCAACTGCAATAAAACTGAGAAGACAGTTACAACTGTATGTATGTACATCTGTATGCTAGGTGTTCTTCAATATTGTGACCTCACAGCTTGTGAATCATCAAGGGTACAAGTACTTCATAGTAATTGCAAAGTAAGAAAGAAAAAAAAGAATGCTAGGAGAGACCACCAGCAATACAGAAGAATGACTCATGGAGCTGGTAAACGTAAGAAATAAGCCAAAGCTTAAACACTCACCAGCTGAAGTTTAAATGAACACATGTGAAGCATTATATTTCTTTCTTTTTACTTTGAAAAAATAGACATAATTCTTACATTCATGCAGAGGGTCCATGGATGGAGAAGAAATATCTTATAGTAGCAGCAGATTATGAAGGAAAAACACAAGTGGAAACAAATAACTTTTACAACCCCTGTCAATCACCTGAGAAAGTCCAACTATGTTGTAACCCTCACTTAATTCACTTATATTTTTCACCTGTAATTGGCATGGAAATTTGTTAAGAAGGGTGTTATAATTTAATTTCCAGAATGAAGAATTGAAATGTATTACCAAACTATTTCACCACCTTCTCACAAGCAATGGTCGTCTGCAAGTAGAAGTATAATAAATTATTTTCGAAACTACATATGGAATATTAATATATTATTGATAGAAAGTACTCATACTATTAGTACAAGAGTCACCTGTTCCAATAAGGGCACAGTCCAGGAATCCCACGATCCATCCCCAATTTCTCTACAGAGAAAAATGAAATCAGAAACAGGACTTGCATTAATCATGCACTAGATGTTAGCCTGATCAGAGGTGCACAATTTGACGTTTAACAGAAGAGCAGCAAACAACAACCGTGAACTTAACAAATTGATACAAAGCTTACGTCACATTCATACATGTCACAATTTCTGACAGAGTGTTCCTATTGGGAAATATTCAGTTCATCAAATAACTCTGAAAACCTTTTGACAGCAGAGTTTAAGCTTGTTATGTCTTGATAGGCAACAGCACTAGTTTGGAAACATTTTGAGAAACATACCAAATTAATGACGAGAGTTCTGTGCTATTAAAAAAAGTCTCGTCGATGACCCACAAAAGTTCAGTAGCGCATTTATGTGTTCCTTAAAGAGGTTCCTCCTGGGACCTGAAACTCAGACTAGTGTGTTGGATTTTTACTCTATTTGATTAACTTAATGCACAGGTTTGATGATGCCTCCAGCTGGCTTAGGAGAGTCCCACAAATCAAGTCTGACCAGAAGTCTTGAGTTTAATTTTCTTTTTGTTTGATTGGGGTAGGGGCAGTTGCATGGTTCTTTAATTAATTTGATGTGGGAATTCTTATGGCTGCAGTTATTGTTATAGATTGAATTGACATTGACATAAATGGTTTTGAATTATTTTCTGATTGCCAGAAGGAAGGAATTGCGTTTACATGAATTTGCAGGATGGGCCCTGAATTGGAGGTGAAACCAAAGTCGGGAGCTGCTATGGAAGTTTCAGTTGCTAAGGATGGAACTACCCATCATGACGTAGACGATAAGTTTATGCCTTGTGTAAGTAACTACAAAGATAATATCTTGGAAATGGAAGAAACATTGGTTGGACAAACTACTGCCTCAAATAAAAAGGAGAATGCGGAGCTAAACAGAACTGGTGGTACAAGTCCTGATGATGTTCAGATTCTTGAAGGTGAATGTGGGGATTTGACAGAGAATTCGAGTTCTTTTGGTGATACAATTTCTGGGACAGAGGATGGTTCAACGTTGGATGGTGACGAAGCTGATTCACAGTTAGGTGAAAATGAGTTCTCTTCAGTATATGATGGATATTTTGGTGCATTTCAAACAAGGTACATTGTGGTTTAAATGATTTCTTCTATGTCTTACTTAAATCTTTTCTATAGGGTAGCATTGAATGATTTGCAAGCCTAGAATACAATTGTAAAGGTAATCTCTTGTTTGCAATTTAGTGCTCAGTTGTCAAAATATTGATTATACACTTTGAAACATGTAGTGAAGTTCAATAGAAGTTTTTCTGATTAAGTTTGTCAAATGGGGTTTCCCATTTTGTTGTACCAAAAAAAGAAAAACTTATCCTTTCAGACATTTATGATGTTTGAATTTCCTTAGCTTGAGGCCTTGAGAGGGATTGTGGCTGGGGCAAACGTGCACATACATGGTAGCTACCTAACTAGATGGATGTACTTTTAAAGAAGAGTCTTTCTCATACAATTTACAGCTTCACAGATACTTTGGACACAAACAAGGCCAAAAATTTATGCCCTCTTGTTTGCCTAGAGTTTCTTAGCTACCAAAGAAGATGAAACCAAGAGGCCAATTTTCCACAAATGTTATTCCTTACACTACCTGACATACAAACAGAGCTAAACTGTCAATGATCTTATGGGAGATGAATTCATTTCAACATTCCCGCACCAACTCAGAAATGGAAAACAGCAAGGAATACACTGACAAACGAACATTAGACAGTGAGCATCAGCCCAAAATAAAGAAAGAAAAGAAAAGAAAAGAAATTTATAGATGCTAATACTGTTGCTAAATAGGGAAGAAAAACAAGCTAGCAGTGCAACAGAAATAGAAGCAAACTAAACCGCAGAGAATATCCTTTTTTCTCAATAAAAAATTCCAACTTGGTCATTGCATTGTTTGCTCTTATTCACAAAAACAGAGCTACTAGCATTACTATAATGGGTTAGCATAATAAGCAGCAACAAAATTCACTAAAAACTCATTAAGAGCTGCAGAAACCTATGAAATTGAAAAGAAAAACAAAAGGATGAGAGATTTACCATGAAAAACAATGAAAGGAACAGAGTGGATTAGTGGGATAAGAGTGATGATGAAGAAGAAGATGAAAATGATTGATACTGGTGGAGAAACCATTGTTGCTAAATGGGTTTTTGCTTAAAATTGCCAAAAGCTTTGGAATTCCAGAGAGGTTTAAAGGTTCGGAGTCTCAAGGATTTTGGTGGAGTAGGACTCCTGAGAAAATGGTTTTTGACATGTTTACAGAGAGAGAGAAGAGAAGTTGGGTTGATTATTCTGGAAACAGAAGAAGATGCCAACTACCCTTCCTGCAGCTGACTATTATTTGCCATAGAGGCAACCCAATCTCATCCAAATGTCATTTTGAGTTATAATTCCTATGACAAAAGACACACTTCTACCAACGACTCTCTGGTCTTTTGCTAATGATCTGTTGGTGGCATTTAACTTTTATTTATTTTGTGGGACCCAAATTTTTTATTTAAAAAAACAATTATGTGGGACTCAAATCAAATCTCATAAATGAGAGGGTTGCCTTTTACTTATGTTGTTTAAAAGTACATTTTTTCTTTGTTTTTCCACATGAGAAAAAACAAATTCTGCTGGGGAAAATAAAGAGAAAAGGAAATGAAGAGACAAATTAAAGTCAAAGCGTTTTGGTTAATAGCTTGTGTAACAGTGTGAGAATGGCAGGTGTGTGTGACCATCCATGTATCTAAATAAGAATAAAACTTTAGTGCCATGTAAAATTACTTGAAACAAGAAAGTCATAAATCGGAAAATTTATGAATCAGGAAATAAGAAATGAGTATAAAATCAACTATTCATATAATTAATCCAATTTACAATATGAAAAGAGGTAAGTGCTCATGTGATAAAATCCTATTAAGGGAGGGCTCCAAATTCACATAGGTTTCAGATTTTGTGGTCCTTTAAAAAAAAATTACAAATTAGCTTGAGAACTTTAAGGTCAAAGTGCTTACTAATATGGAGTGAAAAAATGGGAGAATCTTCAATTCTAATCCTATCATATCATACCTATAATGGGAATATGCCAATAGTAGCATCCACTTAAAAGAATAAATAAATAAATAAGTTGAATTTTAAAGCAATTTTGATTCATAATTTAATACCTGGTACAGCGATTAACCAGTCAGACAGAAGTTGGTTGCTTGTTTTGTTTTTAGTTTTCTCATTTTACAAAAACCTTCATTAAAAAAAAAAAAAAAAAAAAAAAA